CTTTTTGATACTGTTACTTTAGGCTTTGGTTTATTCTTTGCTTTTTTTTAATATATGTAAAAAATAGTTAGGGTTTGATTTTTTTTTATCGCACGAAAAATTAACTTTATCTGTATAAAGCTATAGGTATACTTTATAATCATATTAGATAATTAGTGCTTATGTTAGAGTTCAGTGAAACTTGTAAATGGTTAAAACAAATTAAAAAATAAAGCTATATAAATTATAAATAACTATATTACGCCCTTTTAGATCTAATATAATAGACCAAAAGATAACACATTGTAATAATGTCAATGTATGTGTAATTTTTATTGTATTTTCGGAACATCGTTTGAGAAATATAATTTCTTTTTTATTAAAACCATGAAGATCTACTTATATAATGAACAGAAAAGTAGTAATTATTTTAAATTTTGTAAATCCATTTAAATGTAGTACTGCCCTTTAACTAAGTTGTTAAAATGTTCAGGATATAAAAATCCTTAACTCATTCATTCCTTATCAGTTGTAATGCCCCAATGACTCGTAGGTAAATAAAATTTTATTGCTTTTGGGAATGTATTTATGCAATTTTAGCTGCTTGAGATTTATTTTTATCTAAAATAAACAAATATCGCTAAGCTTCTGATCAACCAACTGGGAATAGAAGCGAAAAATGCAAATGCAAAATCCTTTTCCTTTATATGCAAAAGTTATTAAATTCATTTTAAAGTATCAGTTTAAAGTATTTATATAGCCGCCTTGAAAACTGAAATGAGTGGCTTTAATTGTATTTAACTACTGGTTAGTTCTTTACAATGTATCTAGTATACAAAGACTCCTTGTTAGGTATGGTGGTTGTAGGGTATACTGTTAAGTAGCGTTTAAGTATCTAAGAAGTATTCGCAACTTCTTGTAATAAATGTAAGAAATTACAAAGTTCATTGGAAAAATAAATCTCTTAAGAAATTGACATTTAAGCATCTTAAGGAAATCACTGTGAAATTTTTAAATAATTTTCTACTTTAATAAATCTGAAATGCAAAATCCATGAAAGACAGTGAAACATCAAACCACATGAATGGAGGGGCGGGGAAAATGTTATTGCATAAAATCCATGTCATTTCTTATAACTTTTCCATTTCCTAAGATTTGCTTAAAAAAGGATGTTGGCTTAGTCTTCGTAGGATTGTGTATCTTGTGATGTGCGGTGCTGTACGGTACTGTGCGGTGCTGTATGTCCTGCTATCGATTGTTAAACTTTATCCTAAGTGGCAAAGAAGTTGTATCGGTTTAACGCTCTATTGGGCGTCAACTTGTGTAAATTCCGAGTATTCACCATTTAAAAGTAAAGTTTAAAGTGCACATTTATGCATGTCTGCAAATGCTTTTGGAGTCTTTCTGCACTGGCATAAATAAATCTGTATCTGCATGCGGCAACATGTAAAGACGAGTGTAAATATTTGCTGCCAGTAAGAACGTTATTAAAATAAGAATAGTGTAAGGAAAAAACATATTGAAAATTGACTTTTAAAACTAATTTTGTGCACTGCTACGTTCGAGTTTGCTTCAGTATCGTTTTTTGTTTTTTTTGCTGTTTTGAATATTTCAATATACAAAAATAAGTATCTTTGTAAATGTGTCTCAATGTATCTGCCAGTTAGATTATGCTTAGCTTAAATGCTTCACTTCATTTCATTTCACGTAACTCGGTGTGTATTTATTTTAATCTGCTACACGGTTAATTGCCTTAAGCTTTATTAACTTCAACTTTTTGAAAAAGGTTTAACAAATTTCGAATAGTTTTTGCTCAACTAACTGAAGTTTATAAAAATTAACCTAAGCTGCAATTACTGAAGTTTTTAGTGTTTCCATTTAAGTTTTTTATTTTTTTCGTTAAGTGCTTGAAACTTTGGTTTAATTGAAGTAATTACAAGTTTCGTTCGGCGATGTTTTTTTAATGATTTGTAAATTTATTTGTTCTGTCTGGTCATTTTATGCCTTTCAGCTATTAAGAAAATTGGTAATTACTATTATTAAAACGAAATTTATTTGTTTTGTTTTTTGCTTCTACTATTTAGCATAGTAATTATAAAGTTTTATTATATACTTCATTTGGAAATGCTTTATAATACTCATATCATTATAAATGGTCTACAGACAAGGCCTTGTAATTTTACCTAACATTCCGAATAATAAAAATTATGCCGGATGTCATATTGCGTTCTTTTTCGATCAAGGACTGTGACTTCATAACAAACATTAAAGTGTAATTATTTATGAATATTGAAAATGTTTCATAACTAATTAAAGTAGCTTAAACTATTTGAATTACATACAATAACAGATCCAAAAGAGGCTCTTTTATGCACATAAGTTAAGCATAGAACTTGGTACAAACTACGATTTGTATGCTGATTAGAAGCATAGAAGCATTGAACGGTGAAAAATGAGTTGTGGATTAATTGTAAGATCACTAGAACCTTATAGTATAGATTGTCTTGAATAAGAATAAACGAAAATTTTTTGAGCTTTAATATACTGTCAAATTTCCATAAATAGAACTTTTGGATTAATCGTGAGATTGCTAGAATCTTATAGAACAGATACCCTTGAATATGAACAAATGAAAAATTTTTGAGCTTTAATATACAATCAAACTTCTATAACTCGAACTTCTACAACTCGAACTTCTATAACTCGTATTTTCTATAATTCGAACTAAATAGAGTGCAACATGGTTTAAAGATCAAACTATATAGATTTATAAAAAAAATTCTTTAACTCGGTCTTCATAAGTTGAACCTTTTCTTTGCAAAGTAGTACTTCGGGTTATGAAAGTTTGAATGTATTAGCAAGCAATTTATGTATTTACACGAGTACTAAAGTGTCACTATTCCGACGCTTATGCCGATCCTTCAAATGCACGGTATTCCGATAAGTAGATTGTCAAAGGTGTTTTTAAGATAAAGTTCCATTAAACAACGGAACTCCGAGTAGATTTATTTTATTTAAATCCCGCATTTTACTGTTACAATGTTAATATACAATACTTACAGCTTGACTGCGTTTTCTTGATATATACAATATATTAGTTTTAAATATCAAGATTTATCGTCAATGTATAATTTAATGTAGTATTAGAGATATTAGAGATTAAAGATTTTCTAAGAGGTGGTTTTAGTGGGTTCAAGTTTCACACTGTAACTTTTGATGATTTGCACTTACTGCAAAATAAACCCAAAAAAAAATTAAAAACAAAGGATTTTACTAATCTAATACCCTTTATCTTTTACACCACTTTATTCCAGATTAATAACACTTCAACAACTTATTCATAAAAATATTATTCATGAAACTTAAAAATTGAGTCCGAAATCT